TCAACGACTGAACTTGTGAATAAATTTTCAGATTTCTTCAATAATAAGATTGCTATTATATGGAAAGAACTAGCCATCGATTCTTCCCACTGTAATCAGCGAAATCAAGAGGAACAATATGTACAATGCGTTAAATTCATTAACTTTCAAGAAGTCACGGAACATGAGATTGAAAATGTTATTGATAAAGTTGGTAAAAAATCTTGTGAACTTGATCCAGTGCCCGCAAAAATCTTTCAAGGTTGTCAGAAGACCAGGGGCGTAGGAAGCGGGGGGCACGGGGGGCAAGTGCCCCCCCAAATTTTTTTAAAGGACTAAAAGTGCCCTTTTTTGTGATAAAAAGTGCCCTTTCCGATAGTAATGTGCCCCTACAAGCCGGTGCCCCCCCAAACTCCAGGTGCTTCCTACGCCCCTGCAGAAGACTCTCTTACCTATAATTACTAAGATCAGTAATGAGTCACTTCAGTCAGGTTGTATGCCTGAGATACTAAAAGAAGCCGTGTTGAAACCAAAACTATAGAAAGATTCGCTGGATTACGAAGAATACACAAATTTCCGACCTATTTCAAATTTAAAATTCCTGTCTAAAGTAATTGAGAAGGTTGCTGCCGGTCAGCTTCTGGAACACTTGGCTAATAACAAATTAGAAGAACCCTTCCAGTCGGCATATAAACGTTTTCATAGTGCAGAAACAACCCTATTAAAAGTACAAAACGATATTCTTGTAGCCATTGATAATCGTAAGTGTGTGGTGTTGCTATTACTAGATATGTCAGCAGCATTCGATACTGTTGATCACGAACTTTTACTACAACGAATGTTCAAAAGATTTGGGATAGATGGGCAAGTGTTGAAATGGTTTCAGTCCTATCTTCAGAATAGAACGCAAAGTGTAGTGATTGACGGTGTTAAATCTATCTCTAAAGTCTTACGTTGTGGAGTCCCACAAGGATCAGTTCTCGGCCCTATACTATATTTACTATACACTTCACCCCTTGGTGATATCATCAGAGGTCATGATCTTGATTTTCACTTTTATGCAGATGACTCGCAATTATATCTCGCTTTTGAGTCAACCACTGAAGGAAAAGCGGGAGCACTGGTACAAATCGAAATGTGTGTAAAGGAGATTGATTTGTGGATGGTCAAAATAAATTTAAATTGAATGGGGACAAGACTGAGTTACTTGTAATCAATGCACGAAATCGTTTATGTCCTGCTGTACACCATATAGAAATATCTAAGTCAATAGTTCAACCAAGTACTTCAGCACGAAACATCGGTGTAACCTTCGATCAACACATGTCCATGGATAAACATATTACCAACATTTGCAAGAACTGTTTTTTCCATTTGAGAAAAATAGCAAGAATAAAAGAGTACTTATCAAAATGAGATATCCAAACCCTAGTTCATGCCTTTATTACATCGAAACTAGATAATTGCAACTCTTTGCTATACGGACTACCTAAATTTCTTATAGATCGATTACAGAATGTGCAAAACTGTGCTGCTCGTCTGGTGACAGGAAGCAGAAAATACGACCATGTTACTCCGTTAATGAAACAATTACATTGGCTCCCCATCAGTCAACGCATCATCTATAAAATTGTTCTTATCACGTATAAATCTCTGAATGGCTCAGCTCCACATTACATTAATAATATGCTAAAACCTTACACACCATCAGCAAATTTACGCTCCTCATCCAAAGGATTGCTTACCATACCTTCAGTAAAACTAGTGAACTATGGTGAACGATCGTTCTCATATGCTTCACCGAAACTGTGGAACGAACTGCCAGAGTATATTAGAAAGAGTGAGACCTTGCCTATTTTAAAAACCAGATTAAAGACACATCTTTTTAAACAGTATTATGACTAAGTTATTATTTTAACAAGATTATTAGCAATTTTATAGTATTCTATATAGTTGTTGTTTTAATATTATCAACATATATAACATAAAGTAATTTTATATTCTTAACGAGAAGAGCATATAATAATTTTTTAGTAATTTTATAGTATAGTAATTTTAGTAGTCAATGCATGCACTATGTTCTAACACTTAGTATATATTTTTAACACTTGATGTTAAGCGCTATTGAGCTATGGGAAATGGCGCTATATAAATGAATTATAATAATAAATAATAATAATAATAATAATAATCAATTGTTCATATTGATACAGTCCTGTAATAAATTTGAGTTCCGAAGCTTGGGGAGATAGACTTGTGGATAAGAAGTCATAATTTACATCTCCTAGGATAATACTTTCTTTATTGTCATTGTCTATTAGTTGTAAACAGTTCTCAAATCTATAAAGGGTGTCAATTGGATCGTTTGGTGGTCGATACCACGTTGTAATTAAGAACGGTTTAACGTTATGTTTACTAATTTGTATTGTAAGAATTTTAATATCATGATTATTCAGGTCAGTTCGAGGTCGAAAATTTATTAAATCTCTAATGAAAAAACCGATACCACTCCCAGATCTATTTCTGTTTTTGGAAATCCAATTGTAACCTTGAATGGTTATTGACTCGATTGGCACACTATCGTCCATTCGTGTTTCATTAATTGCAAGAACATCTATTTATTTATCATTCATGCAGATCCGAAGTTCGTCAATGTGTTTTGGTAGACTTGTTATGTTCAAAGAAGCTATTTTGAAGCCTCGGATAGCCGGAACTAACCGGTCTTGTTGATTGTCAATATAATTTAAATTTGAATTGTGCCTTATAGCGTAGGGTTGACTTTCTAGTTTCGCACATTGTGCTTAATTCAATATTGTTAGTGTTACCACCTATGTTAATTGATTTTATAATTTTGTAAAAATAGTCAATATCGTCAATATCGCTAGGTTTGAGTTCATTTAGTCAATTCTTGAGGGATTCGATCAAGTTCTTTGCTAACATTGCCGTTCCTTGGCTATTCAAATGTAATCCAGATGCATTTAATTTAGAAGCATCTATGTTAGTATGCCAAATAAACTGCCACTTGAATTTACCACAGAGCTTAGCTAGTAACGAATTAGTTTTATCTATCTTAATGTTGATAACCGGGTCCTGTCTCTTAATTATTTCGGAAATAGCTATTTTTGAAAAACTTTGGGTCACGATACCTTGACATAAGGATTTCATTTCGGCTACAATCTCGTTGAGTTCTTTACGTTGAATGTCATTAGTCCCTACATGTAGAATCACCAGTTTGGGTTGTTTCTTCATTGTGGGTTGTATGTAGTGGTTCATGTCGTTAATTGTTGCTCCAGGAAATGTTTTGATGTTGACTTTTTCGCCTATTAATCGACTCAGTTTAGGTGGTTTAATCATCTTTATCATGGAATCCCCTAAGATTGTTATGGGACCTTCGGATGTCTTGGACTTGGAATAGCTATTCTGGGGTGGTGAATCGGTAATAAGAGTTTTGTCAAAAGTTGATACTTTTTTTGCCAGGATTCTTGTGGGTCGTGATCGGTCTGACATAAGGCGGGCGTTGTCCTTCTGTTAGTTCTACATCGCTGTCACTAAGGACTTCATATCTGTTAACATCCGAGATATCGGCGGCCGTTTTGTGGGCATCCTTGCTAACGTTTGGTTTCTTATTTCGAACAACATGCCAGGTGTCAACTTGATTTTTGGTTCCACTAGGTTTGGATTGATCGAGTTGAACCAGCTTAATTGCCGTAATTAGGCTGGTTTTTTCGTTCTCCGTGTCTTTAACTTTAGTTTGCAAGTCTGCCATAGCGTACGATATAGTTGCATTCCTTTGGCGTAATTCTAAGCTTTCATTTTTAAGTTCGTCTATTTCCCGTTTGAGGTTGTTGATCAGATCAATTCGTTCTGGTTGACTTGTATTGGCCTTCAGATTGTTTACTTCTTGCGAAATCCCCTCGACCTTGTCGTCTATTCTTTGCATGAATTTACTCATGAGATCGTTTATCAATAGATTATATTGCAATTCGTCTTGACTTTGGCTAATCTCTTCTACTTCGTTTTCCAAGATGGAGATGAAGTTTGCTTTAATTTCACTGGCTTTATTTCCCTTGAAAGTGAGTGTTCCATTAGTTGAATACCAGCGCACAGAAAACTCTTCGCATTCATACAATTTCGAGCCACCGCCTGGAGTCATCCATTTGGCTTTTGGTAATTGCAATTTCTCGATGAGATATTTTAGGCTTTCAAAGCTACCGAGCCACTTCAGGGTTCTCTTATCTGTAATCTTTAATCCTTCCCCATATGTTGTTGCTTCATCTGTAGTAGACGATGTGAATTCCAGTTTTATAGACGACCCATTACATATTTCATAGCCGCCTAGCGTTTTCTCAACGTCGAGTACTTTGTCCGTGAAGAAAAGTCGCTGCTTTTCTGAGGGAATTTCTAGCTTCTCTTGGATTTTATTCTGCACACATTCAGCCGTAGTGTTCGACTCAACTTCTAAGGCACAAAGTGTTACACTTCGACTGTTATTCACATAGATTTTCATCGCCGCTTTAGTAGATTGCTTTGATTTCGAACTTGAGATTTAGCGGAGCACAAAATACACGTCTGCAAGTCAGATTGCTTTATTACCCTATTAATTGGTTTTTGCGATCCACTCAAGCGCATCCGACAGCTGATTAAAAATGTAAGGCGCGCTGCGAAGGCCAAAAGGTAAAACTTGGTCGAAATAATAAAGCCCTTTCCAATGCATGCCTAGTAGTATGTAAATTGCCGGTATCTCATACTTTTTTGAGTAAATTTTTTCAATTTCATTGGAAGCCCTCTAGATCAGCCATTTTGCTTGTTCCAGCAGCCTTTCAACCCCAATTTTAACAATTCAACATTTTTCATTTTCAAATTTCTGCGAAAGCCCCAGAGTTACCGTTTTTTATGCCTCTAGAACACATTTAACCTAATTTTTATGAGATAAAACAGCTCTTCAATCCGTTTTTCTAGGCTGAAGACCGTTTTTAAGTCACTCTATACTACTTCTAGACCCTTTTTATTTACAGTCGTTCCTTGAACCTATTCTTACATGTCCATACGCTAAACTTGTCACTCCATCCTTTAACAAGAACCGTTTATCATCAAATGCACTCAACGAAATCTTATTCAAATTATACGTTCCAACTTCATGACAATCGCTTCTTATGGTGTTCATCCTATGTTTCATCTGAAGTCCCTCTACCAACGTTCTCTTATAGCCTTCGTGAGTGATAAACTTCTTAATTACATACTTCTTTACACCTTTTAGCTGTCTTTTCACCTTTACCATTATTTTTCTCATAACTGTACATCTTTGACCGCAACCCAATGAATTCTCTTATAGGGACTCCATCAGCTTCATCCTTCATTTTTCCGATAACTTTTTTATTTACCACACTGTGGAAGGGCGAATCCTTACTATAACCGCCAGTATCAAACTTATCAGAAAACTTAGCCGCATCTTCATACGCATCTTCAGTGTGTAATCTATACATTAAACTATCAGTATCAGTAAAAAGTAACTTTGCTCTTTTTCCATAAAGTTTTCTTATATGGTTATAGTGAAAGTCATACATTAATGTCTTCGATAGATCAAAAATACTCATTCCAATATACGCAGGCTTATTCAGAAGTAACACTTCCTTTACTTTCTTAACCGCAACTAAACCTCCACTTAAAACCTTAGCCCTAACGAAACTCGCAGATGCCACCGCTTTCTTCAGTTTATCACCGTCAACCATTAATTTCACATCAACTCTCTTCCGCAAGTTCTCCATTGTCTTTCCAAACACAGAGTTATTCATTAGTTTAAAGAAGTTCTTCTCAAAATCATTTCTAGCCACTGTTCTCATATTAGTGTTAAACTGAATGTACTCCTTTAACCAGCATGAATGGGAAAACTCAAGTGCTCTTCTAACCTTTACCAACTTCATTCCCAACTTCATTCCCAACTTTAGATTATCAATACGACCAGGATTTCATTTATGGGGATGGCAGTTTCTTTGTCATTCCCTGCCGCCAGGACGACGTGGAGAAGTATCTTAAATTTGTCGCGGATTTCACGAAGGGGAAGGAATCTCTCATCATCCTGGACGACTGTTCCAGCACCAAATCTGTGAAGGACCGTACGGGGGAGCTGGTTGATCTAGGGTTTAGCGCATGTCATCAGCCGTAGTGTTCGACTCAATTTCTAAGGCACAAAGTGTTACACTTCGACTGTTATTCACATAGATTTTCATTGCCGCTTTAGTAGATTGCTTTGATTTCGAACTTGAGATTTAGCGGAGCACAAAATACACGTCTGCAAGTCAGATTGCTTTATTACCCTTTATTAATTGGTTTTTGCGATCCACTCAAGCGCATCCGACAGCTGATTAAAAATGTATACATTATAGTAAGGATGTTCTCATATTAGTGTTAAACTGAATGTACTCCTTTAACCAGCATGAATGGGAAAACTCAAGTGCTCTTCTAACCTTTACCAACTTCATTCCCAACTTCATGTACAACTTTAGATTATCAATACGACCAGGATTTCATTTATGGGGATGGCAGTTTCTTTGTCATTCCCTGCCGCCAGGACGACGTGGAGAAGTATCTTAAATTTGTCGCGGATTTCACAAAGGGGAAGGAATCCCTCATCATCCTGGACGACTGTTCCAGCACCAAATCTGTAAAGGACCGTACGGGGGAGCTGGTTGATCTAGGGTTTAGCGCATGTCACATTAGTATTTCCACCATCGTTATCACTCAGCAGCTGACTTCCATTGCCAAATCATACCGACAAAATATTTCGAAATTAGTAACATTTTATAATCCGAACAGACAGGACATGAAGATTATTTTGGACGAATATCTTTTTGTCGACAGCGCGGAAATGAGATCTATTAAGCAAAGACTGAAGGAGAACAAATACGCTCAGCTTGAGGTAAACCTGGTTCATCCGTTCAATCACGAGGTAAAAATTCCAATGTTATAATAAAAAAGATGGAACCGGAATTACCGACCGCGGAAAATACGGAGATTGAAGCCTATAGGGCGGAGCTTATCCGCCTGTCCAACGCCTAAGAGATTACCCAGTCTGAAAAATATCTCAGGAAAGCGTTTGACAAAGTCATCACGAAAATCCGGAAGAACTACATCGTTGCACAAAGGGAAAAGGCGAACATCCTGCTGACGGAAGCCCTGATCGATAAATTTTCCGGTCTTATGGAAGCTATCAACATGGTGGACAGCGGGGAAGAGCTGAAGGCGGAAAGCTATTTAGGAGTGATGTCAAAAGCGTGGTGGGAAAGCTGTCCCCTTACATACCCTATTTGGGGATCGTTAGTTGTGGAGTGATGACCGTAAAGCATGTGCGTTTACCGTAGAACACCCGAACTTCCACCTTCCGAAGAAGAACCAAAGACCGACATTCACAACTTATAAGTATGGAAATTTTCCACACCCTTTTAGGATTGGGAAAACCGTGATTCCTAAATATTTTTTATTATTTTAGTACTGTACTCCAGCGAGTTGTCCGTTTGCAATTCCGGTGACACCGTCAGAAAGAACGAACATGTGACATACGACGTTCGCAGATGTAGACTGATTTCATCAGTGCCGAACAATCGTCTTGCCTCTTCGTACAGTCTTGTTTTCGGAATAGCTTGACTGTAGACAGCGTTTGGTACGCCTTCCACGGTTACCCTAACCTTTTCGATGTTGGTGTAAACATATTCTTCACTGTCTGTCTTTGTCTTGTTCTTAAACAACATAACGATAAGCCGGTAATTTCTGCCCAGTCCCGTAGCCAGAATGATAATTAAAGGCCATATTCATATATTCGTATACATACTATAAAAACTATTGATTCTCAAAAGCAAAATTAATGCGAACACGAATATATGAATATGTGCCCCCCAATTATCGTTCTGGGTACGGCACTGTTTCTGCCTTGTTCATACGTTGGAAATCAGGCATGAGTTCAGCCGTTCGGTTCATTATGTTTTATTTATAGTACAAAAAGATATTTTTTTACGTCTATTTTGCAAATACCTGAATATAGCTCCGGCAATTACGATCACCACGATCCACAAATTCTGGGCGAGGAAGGCAAGACCCTTGGTTCCCCAACCTAGGTTGTACTTAACATATTTAAAATAGTACCAGGATTGGCAGTGCAGCTTTTGCAAACTTTGCAAACTCTTTTCCGGCAGCTCCAAGTCCATTAGCTTCTCCCGTGATGGTCTTTTTTCCAGCCACCACCACAGTCGCAATAATTCCAGCAATGGAGATGGCAATGGCGGCTAACGCCCCCATGTTTTGTTTTGCCCACACGCGGAATCTCTCGAATTTTGTTCGGGTTGTCCCTTACTATATCCCTATACCTGTGTTTTCCCTCTTCCGACCTAGGTACCTGTCTCATTTCCAGCCTTGTATCATCGATGGCCTGTTCGATAACGTTCACCGCCCTCTGTGTGATCTGTCGTCTATCGTCGTCGGTTTCTTTTTCAAGGTTACATTTTCATTCCTTCATCATAATGTCCATGTGTCTGATTCTTCACTTCGGCGGTCCTTTAGGAGCAGTTATTCCTGCAAATTCCCTTCTTCCTGTTCGGTTATTTTTCCTTCACTTTCCAATTTTCCGCTTGTTCCACAATGTTATCGCTTGCGTTGACAACGTCCTGGTGAAATTCCTCCTCTGCGTCTTCGTAGATTTCGTCCGCGTTCTCCTCTCGCATGTTTCCTCCAGTCTCCTCTTCCACCATGCTGCGGACTCCTTTCTTGTGTTCCGTTGAGGCGCCCTCAACACTATAGTACGGCGGTATTTAGAGTTAATAATATTCATAATTATATTAATGACATTCATATTTTGGACAAGAAAGCGTGGACTTTTGCCCTCTCGAAGGAAAGTACAAAGTTCAGCCCAGGGTGCGGCAACAGTTTTGCTAAGATTTCTTTGAACAAGTTAACGTTTAATTTCCTATATTATTAGTCTACATCCTATGTACCTTGACATTTGGTGAGTAGATATCTTGTATTACATTTATTTAGTATTCATTGTAAGTTTAAACGGATTTAGTTATTTGGGTATTGTTGTAAAACCTTATTTGTTTTCGCTAGAATTAAACTTTAATGGTCAGCATAGTAACATTGATGTCAAGGAATAGTCTCAAAGACAAAGAGTACAGGCCGTGCTCGTACATGGTTTAATTCAAATGAATTTATCGATCGAAAGAATTCAAGAGTCAAGCTGAGAGGAATCGAACTCACAAGAACAGTGTCCTTGGTGTACGTTTGACTTACCTACAAGTAAGCTCGCAGGCATATCAGGTATGAAAGATTACAGATTTATTGGTGCCTTAGCAAATTTGAACTGTCTGTGAGTGTACGACATTTTTGAAATTAAACTATCAAACTTGAACGCTCGCTAGCGAATTATGAATTCTGATGATATAAACTTTCAAGAACCACCGTCGCAACGTGGTCTACAATTTAACGATGCTATGCTAAATGAAAGAATCCTTCAATCCAAAAGATCGAGCCATTACTCGTGTCCGAGGACAAATTGAAATCCTTTTGTCAAATGTAGAGAACGCACAGACGGTTGAAATACAATTGCAGCGATATGATGATGCATGGCGTAAATTTGAAGACGCACACAACGGTTATCTATCATTGATTAGTCCACATAGTTTAGTGTTTTCCGATGCCGTTCAACAGTATAACCAATTGTATACAGAGAAGGCTATATTTTCGAATCGTGTATCAAAATACCTACAAAACTGTGAAGAGAACCCTATAAACCATGTCTCCCCAAATGTAACGCTAAGTACAATACAGAAAGAGCATGTGTATGCAGAAAGTGTAACTTCAGATAGATCAAGTGTATCAAAGGCATCAAGTCAATCCTCACGATCATCAACACAAGAAAAAAGGGTGCAAGCAGCTAAAGCAAAGTTGGCTTTACGTTTGGCTGAAGCTGAACGACATCGAGTTCTCGAAGGAGAATTTAGGCTTGAGGACATAGAAAGATAGCAAAGAGAATTAGAAACGCAACATAAATTGGAGGAAGAAGAACTTGAAAGGACGAGAAGAATAGAAACCTTAAAACAAGAAACCGATAGAGACTCGCTCAAGCTCGACAACAAGCTGCTCTCGCGAATTTGGAAGCAGAGCTGCAGGAGCAATTCGATAGCTATGTAGGAGTCGACATGGAGCTGGAGTCTGAAATCGGGGAACGAATCTCTTCTGAACCTGCAGAAGTAATTTCACATACCCATTTACACGAAGTCCAGAATCCAGACAAGGTTACGACGGACATGGCAACGAGATATTCCTCCAGAACTGATAAGACGTATCCACCGGTATTTAATAGCGATCCACAACACGAAGGCAATCCATTTTCCTCAACGCCAGCTACAGCTAACGAGCCGACTCAACCAGATGTAATATGGCCGGAGCCTTGGAGAACACTTGCCCCTGAATACGCATGGGGGACTCAAGTTCCTTCCTAGCCTAATGTACCAAGTCGGTCAGGTGCAACGGAACCTCGGAGAATTCCGCCAAACCCACCATACGTATGGAAGACTCGAATTTCCTCCTACCTACGGCGGCGAGATCAACCGAGAACAGTTGACAATACAAGATATTGGCATAATACAACACCACTTTACACACGACCTTCTTCACAGCCTTTAACTTTTCCCTATGGATTCCAATATCCAACGGTAAGACGTCTCACTCCCGTAATAGCACCTGCCACGCTGTCTTCCCGTAGTGAAATTAGTGACCAGGATTTCAACTCTGCACGTAGTAAACCACCCGAAGACGATATAAGAGATACGGTTCCTATATCTGAGCGTAAACCTAACCTTCTTCCTATGAAACCACCATATTCACACCAAGTGAAATCAGCCCACGATGCAGACCTCTTCCGCATCGTGGCATCAGCTATGGAAAGCATATATCCTTGGTGCAACAAAGATTGGCATCAAACCTAAACCTACCTCCTGTACACCTTGAGATGTTCTCTGGTTCGCCAAGTGAATTCATAGATTTGTAACCCACTTGTGTTAAAAAAGTGCAATAAATATTTAATTACTGGTAGGGAAGTGCTGTCCGATGGACAACACTTCACCACGTGAAGCGCAATCACTGCTCATTTAGGTCGCACTGAAGACCTGAATGAGCAGACCTATAGACTCGATGTGGTCAGTCAGGTTATCAGTTGCGCCCCGGGGTAATGTGCAATATACCAATAGTTGTTCACCAGTCCAACTAGGTCTCAATGTCGACGGCCTGACGGATCTGAACGGGGGTTCGCCTGTTCCCCTGTTATCTAGAGGTCCGCCTGTTCCTCTAGAACAACCTACAGTTTTTGCATGTATCCTCAGCCAGCT